GCATAATAATGACAATAGTAATGAGAGTTCTACTTTAATAATAATATTGTTAATAATATTAATAACGATAATAACAATAATGATAATAATAATAATGATAATAATAATAATAACAACAATAAATATTATCAATAATAAGTTAATATTAACAATATTAAAATAATAATAATAACAATAATAGAAAATAATGTTCTTAACTTACTGAATTTTGCACAAATGACACTCAAGATGTCTACTAGTGACTTCTTTCTCGGGGTGCTTCTTTTTTATATGCCTTGATAGCCCGAGTGAAGAAAGATTTGTCACAATCATCAAAAGAACAAAAAATCGAAGGAGAAGGCGTAGCCATACAGCACAAGTGACAAGAGAGGTACCAAGTGAAAAGAAAAACACAGTAAAAGGTGAGAAACGACGAGAGAAATGGTGAGAAACGAAGGGAGAAAGACTGCAGTGACAGCATTACAGCACACGTGTTAACATCATTAATTTTTGGGTGGAGTAGTAGGCGTAGTTAGCTAAAACGGACGAAGACGGAGTTATCCAAGATGGCAACGGTCTGTACCTAATGGCTTGTTTACTTGCACTCTGCCACCATTTTTGGGTGTGGCTAGGAATGACGTTTTATGATGCAAACATTGATTTACTTCCTGTGGCAACTCAAATGAAACCGACTATAGTTGTATTATGTGATACAGCTGAAATTACTAAGCACATATAAAATAAATTTATTTTTTAATGCTGTGCTAGCACTAACTTTTTTGCTGTATCTTTTACTGCAGCTATGAGGTTAATTTAGGCAAGTAAAGTAGCAGTGATTATCTTTAAAGAAATTATTACCAGCAATAAAAACAATAAAAAATTAGGTTTTGATCTGTTATAAAAGGCGAGATTGTAGCATCCATTAAGTCATTTATTGGAACTTTAATAAAACTACCTGAAAATATTTCTTTGGTCCTTAAAATACATATAGATCTTATAGTACCTTCTGAAGTATATGTGTTTCTTTTAAAAATAGTAACAAAATCACCTAGAGTAGACACTTTCTTTGAGTGTATTGTGATTTCTAAAGTTCTCAGCATTCCATTGACATCATTTGTGTCAATAAATGAAGTGTAAGAGTTTAACTGTATTTTGCTGACTATTGCTAGTAATTCTTCAGTAAGAAATTCATTTCGATTAACTGTTAAGCTGTTGTTTCTTTTGTGCCAAAGGAACTTCATGTTATGTGACACATCAATTCTCAAATCTTCTAAAGAGAACTGCATTTCAATTAATTTCAGGATCTGTATAGATTTTACAGTGTCAACACTCTCTACACAAATACGTAATTGTTTAAGAGGTCGTCCATGATTTGTAAGTGGTATCAGTAAATTAACAACAGTCTCACATACATTTTTAATTCTTAAAGTCAGCTTTTTCAGGGTTTTCAGTTGTAGTAAAGGATGTGAGCTGCAATAATTACTATCAAAAGAGTCAAGATTGATTAGTTCCAATGATGGAAATTTTGAAATCATTTGACAAATAGAAACATTATCCAATGATTTTAAATGTAATCCTATTACCATATTTCCATGTACAGCAAGTAGTTGTGTAAGAATGCTCTGAATGCAGTCACTGTCAACTTGAATTTTAATTTTTCCATTGATTTTTGCATTTGGTGAGTGAAATTGGAGCCCTTTTTTGAAAGCTATTACATCAGATAAAGTGTAAAATTCAAGTTTGATTGTAATGTTATGACCAGCAACAATATAGCCACAAATAAAGTAATCCAAATTCTGTATGGCTCTTGAGCGTTCTGGGTGAAATTGTGTCGAGCGTGCAAACTTGTATTTTTTGTCAAGAAAAGCTGTGCTATATAAAAGGGAATCCTGTTCATATATACATCTGAGCATTAAGCTAGTAAGCACAAAATAAGGTATTTCATCGCTTAAATCGTGATAGACTATTTTTAAGAAACGATTGTAGTCAGGATAGTGATAGCTCTTAAAAGCATTATCAATATAAACCGTATTAATAAGGTTTGAGTCAAAAATATTCTTGCTGTGATTGAATATTAAATTCATTGTTCTATAATCAACTTTTCTGTCAATTAATTTTAATAATCCAACATAGAAAGTAAGAACAACCTCAAGATTGGAGTTTTGCTGTAAGTCTTCTCTAGTAAAGATGGAGTCTGGATTATTGGCAATGTAAATTGCTGCTAAGTATTCTTGTAGTGTAGTGTGTATGAAACTGCTGGACTCATCTTTATCGAACCCAGAAAAACTAGTGATAGTGTCCATCATACTCAATTTTGAAACACCACGAAGCTCTTTTCCAAAAACATACTCTTGCTTCATTACACCTACATAAGCCATTCTAGAAAGATAATAAAAATCTTTCCAAAAATCACTTAACTCTGGATAATTAAAGTCAATTTTTTGTATTAAATGTGAAGGCATTTCATAGGTTATATTAGTTAAATTAGTTAAATTAGCATCAATGAGGTGTCTCTTGAGTAATACACGAACATAGTGATTATAAATTTCTGTAAATGTGATTACTTGTTCTTTATCATTATCAATTATAAATGACTTGAATATGGTGCACATTATAAAGCAATTCATTGGATTGTGCAGCATACTCTCAATCATACTATTACGACTATAGTAAGAACGGAATTCAGAAGTTACTTTTTCATTTTTAAAATATTTAGAAGCATATTGCATGGTTTCATTAGAACCAAAGCCTTTAAGAGCAATAAGTTTTGAGTCATCTTCTAAGTAAGTACGCAAAGGATCAGTTGCAGCATGTCTGCTTGTAACTATCACTGTTGACTTGGAAAGAATGTCTCCTCTTATAAGTTTAATGAATATTGAAGTTGAACTGTTTCTCAAATGATGTGGAAGCTCATCAAAACCATCCAATATCCAAAGAACACCTGCTCCTCTTGCTCTCTTGATCAATAGTGCTATTTCAGTCATATTCATATTTTCAACAAAAATGAGAAGGTCTTCAAAAGTTTTGGCTTTTTGATTAATTTCAAGACGCAATGTAATGAAAATGACAACTCTAAAATTGTTCAAATATTTATCTGTTTGTCTAACCCATCGTAATGTTAACTCTTTGGCTAATGTGCTCTTTCCTATGCCAGGCTCTCCTTCAATTAATACAAATCTTAGTCGTTTATCCACCAGTGGTTTTAAAATACTGTCAATTTCTATTTTTTCAAATTTTTCTAATATTTGTTCAACAGAAGCCTTTTTAAAAAATTCTGCATCTTTTTTCCTATGTTTTTCTACCATGATTGATATAAGAGGTATAAAAGGAACATAAGGAAAATCTAATTCACCAGCAGCTGGGAATTTATTGATATTTGGATCCTTATACCTCGTCAGATTCTCATCATATTGGTCACGTAATTGCAATGCATATTCATCAATTGGTGATGTACTTGATGATGCATGCATTAATATTACTACTGAAATTATTGCTACAACTACTGATACTGGGATAATAATCCACCATGATAATAATGTTGTTACAGTAGAACTTTGAGCAGGAGATTTAGCCACAGATTCTGTATAATTAGAAATTTAAAATACAGTGATCATGTATAAATACTAAATAGACCACTGACTTTCATGACTATCTTCACTCCTCATTTCTGCTGTAAATTTGTCTTCAATCTCTTCTACTACATCAGCTAATCTCTTTAAAGTTGGTTTTCCCTTCTTATCAACATCATCCTTCCTCTTCAGCCAGCCAACAACACACTCTGTAAGGCATTCTTCAACAGGTTCAGGTTTATTAGCATTATTTGTTTGAATTGC